AGGATCGAGGTAAGACTGACTGGCCTGTAGTTCCCCGGGTCCTCTTTCCTCCCCTTTTTGAAGATGGGAACCACGTTGGCCCTCTTCCAGTCCTCCGGCACCTCTCCAGAGCACCACGAGTGTTCATAAAGCCGTGCCAGGGGACTTGCAATGACGCCAGCCAGTTCCTTTAGGACTCTAGGGTGAAGATCATCCGGGCCGGCTGACTTAAAAACGTCAGTTTTTGGTTCCAGTTGTTTTCCTTCTTCCTTTCTGGACAGTGTACTCTACTTCCGGGGAAGCTCTTTAAAGCTGGGAGGCTGAGGGCTCCTGGGGATAAGCACCAAGTTGCCTTTAAGAGTGTTAATCCTGGAATGGACCACAGCGTTGGTAGAGAGGAAAGGATGCGTGACAAACTGTAGCAGCAGCAGTATAGCAACAGAAACCAGAGCGAGGGAAGAGACCCCCCTCTTCCTCTCTGCCTAGGCTGCTCCTCTTGAGTCCTAGCTCTTGCCTATTTCAACGTGCTCCCTCTGGCCACTCCTGTGACCATGAGCCACCATTTGAGAAATGCTGGCCTATATCGTTCTCACAGACTGGAACAGTGACTGTGCTTCCCTTGCCTACTTCTGCTTAGCTTTCCATACACAAAACGAAGCACCGAGTCACTGTGAGTAAAAACTACCGTTTGCCTTCAATACAAATGCATGAGCCCGGATAATTTTCCATTTGAAAGAAGTTCCATTAGCTGCTGAATTGCTGTATGACTCTGCCTTGGGCAGACCCTAGCCAGACAGGTGCTAGAGGCCCAGTTAGCCAGGCCAGACTCCAAATGACCAGTGCAGGATTCAGGCAGTGACAGCGCAAAACACTCCAGCAGGTTTGCACCGGGTGGAAAAGCAGCTTTTCACAGAGTGGAAAATGCAAAGCAGGAGACATCAATGCCTGGGATTTTCAAAGGAACCTGAGGGAGTTAAGCATCCAAATTACTTTGAAATTCAATGGAATATTGGGAATCCAAATCCCTTATAGCTTTGAAAATCCTAGCCAACATTTTTTATTATCCACAGACAAAAGCCTTTCCTGTATATTTTCAATGGAATAAACAAAAATGCAATTTCTGGCAGTGCTTTAAAATACATCCCCTAGCATTATGGCATAGCAAGATCATATAGTTGAAATATTATTCTGTAAAATGATAAACAAATGTTTGTGCTGGAGGGAGGTCGCTCTTTGAAGATCCTGGGTTTGTTAAAATTTCTTAGACAAAATTAACCTGGCAGAGCAAAGCAGGCTTCTTGTCACCTACAGTCTTGCCATGGTAGCATTGTTGAATTACCATGTGTGCTTTTTTACTCCACTGAGATGAATTTCATCTCTCTCAGGTCCATTAAGAAATATGCATTAATTACATTTTTTAATCAAATGAATGGCAAAAGACAGGTAAAAAGAGGGGAAAGGAACACATGCACAAAGAAGAGTCTTTAGGGTAGTACTATTTGGTGCCAGAAACTGAAGTCCACTCTCTATCTCTGGAAGATACATGTACAGATTATCGAACGCAGTGCAAGCAAACAGCATCAATGCAAGCCACAGCTATAATGCCTCATTTGTAGGTACATTTGCAAAGCTAGTTCAGCCTCTGTGCCCTTTTGGTCACTCTTCTACAACGTATTGTGAGGGAGCACATGGGAGGCAGCAGAGGTTTTTTGTAAGACAGACACCTGTATACTAGAAACTGGCCTGAAAACAAACTCAAGATGCAGGCCACTGAACAACAACCAAATGGCTTTGTCACTATTAACTGGACCAAGCCGGAAATTCATATGCAAAGTGAAAAGGATCTTTGTGCCATTAGCCCTTAATCACCTGCTTTTTCACAGCCATTGTGTGTTAAATGCAAGGTCAGGAACCCGCCAATCTGCATTTGCTGGTACTGCAGAATAACTGTGAAAAGAGTTTGTTCAAGGACTATGACAAACAAAAATGGATCCTGCCATTTTTATTTATTTATTTTTTCTTTACTAAGTGTTGTTGCCGGTTTGCAGATGAAACCAGTAATACTTGTACTCTAGGTCAGGGTTCAGCAACACTTGTGGCCAGAATGCCAAAAACAGCCCAACCTCCACCCATGCCTCGACTTGGCAGGGTAGAGACCGACAGCAAGGGGCCTGTGGGGGGCCCAATCCCTGCTACTGGTGGCAGGTGCATGTATGCCTCTGGGCACACAGCAAGGGAGGGGCTGGGGTAGTGCCAGTCCAGGCTCCTTTCCTACCATATGCCCCAAGGTGTGCATGCAGCTGCTGCTGCCACGGAGCCAGTGCTGGGGCTCTGGACCCCAGTGCAGCTGTTTGCAGCTTGTCTGCCACTCGCCCCAGCTGAGTCCTGCGGTGGTGGCAGCTGCACACGTCAGAGAGTGCATGGCTACCTGGGGCAGCACAACCCTGGCCTCTTGCCCACCATGTGCCCTGAGGTGCATGTGCAGTCACTGCCACCGTGGAGCCCAGCCGGGACTCTGGACCCCAGTGCAGCTGTTTGCTGCCTCCTGGCTGCTAGCCACAGCTAGCCCAGGCCCTGGACAGCTGCTCCCTGCCATGGAGCCCAGGCTGCTTGTAGCAGCAGCCTCCTGGCCACCTGCTGCAAGCAGCCCAGGATCCGTGGCTGGCAGTAGCTGCCTGGAGCCTGGGCCAACTGTGGCATGCCAAGCAAAATGGCCTCGTCTGCCATGCTCTGGCACTGGGGGTTGCTGACCCCTGCTCTAGGTTGAAGTAAGTGGTGGATACTTCAGTCCCTCCTTACCTGTGAACCGCTCACTTTATAAATGAAGACAGCGAACAAGTGAGACAGCGTATGCATGTGTCCAGATTGACAAAAATAATTCCACATGCTTATTGAACATTGCAATTGTGTGCTTAAAATGTAACATAAAGGTATATAACTTAAGCTTCAGACAGCAAAACTATCCAACTGTGGAAATTAATGTTTAGTCAAAATAAAATGTCACCTAGAAAGTCAATAAAGCGTTCCCGTCAAGTATGATTTTAATCATGCTGACTCTAAGCCCACCTGCCATATTCCTCTTCCAAAAAAGGAAGGAGTTTCTGACCATTTTGATGAATTCTGTCAGTGCATTGTAATGACAAAATTGCAGTTATTTGCCTAGCAAAAATGAGCCTGAAATTAATTAAGAGCATATTTCAACCTACATAACATTTTCCCTCCAACATAAATTCAATACAGGGACAGCAGAACACATCTTAGAAAGAAAATATGGCACAAAATACAAAGTATTTTTTAAGACAGCTGCAAATCTAGTCAAAGAAGCTAAGATTAAGGGGAAACTACCAATGTTTTAATTTGGGATCAGAGGAAATAAACTAAAAATTGTTATCAAGGGAAAATTCAATTGAAAGCTTTCAACATAATTTAAAAGTTGCAGCCAGAGTTATAACTCTTAGTGTGAAAATCAGAGCAACTTTTTAATTCAAGAAAAAAATGGTCAGCCACAGCAATTAAAATCAGTGGGAGTCCTGGACTAGTGTAAACATGCCATCTTGAGTAATATTTCTTTGCCTATTAGGCAGTTTTTGAGGTTAATAGAGTATAAAGTTAATTAGAGCTCCATGTTATTTTCAACCTCTGGCCTAGGTTGTATTTTGCTTGCTGGAACTTACAAAGCAGCACCCGGCTCCAACCCCTGCAAGCACTATTAGTAAAACATGATACTTGATGTGAAGATGAAAACAACTGTGATCATCGAACGGAAAAGTTAAGAATCATTCAGTAAAGAGAAGAAACAGAGGCTTACCAATAACATAGGCTAGCAACAAAGCCAGCGTAACTGTAATAGCTGTAGCACTCAAAGCAGTGCACTTCCAGTTGCAACACCTGTAAGGTTTGTTAAAAGTGAAGGCAGGTCTAGAAAAGGTACTTCTGGGAAGTGGCCTAGGAGGTGGAGAGTAAACAGTATTGGATGTTAAAGGATAGTTCTGACTGGCTGCACTGAAGATAGCTGAAGAACCAGATCCATGTTTAAATAGGAAATGCCTATGAAAGAGAAGACAAAGAGCCATATTGTAAAAACCAAACTCATTCTCTAAAAAAAGAGGGAAAGGAACTAAACAAACATCATTGGATCAACACTTGGTATTCCTGCAAACACACACAAAAAGACAGAAGCGACATGCATTGGGGTCCGAGTCTCAAGTTTTGCACTGTATCATGTCTTTTCCACTCATTTACTACTAAAGAGATGACCAGTAAATGTCTTCTGAACTATTCCCTCAACAGTTCACATTACTTGCCTGTAGAGTAACAGGAGTTTTTTGACACACATTCCCTCGGGGTATTCCACTTTGATGTGCATGTGTTCAATACCGGAGGTGGGGCAATTTCTGACAACAGTGCCTACTTGTTGCACGCA